TACTGACAGCGAGTGCGGCAGTGAGCTCCGGCACGGTGGGCACCGTGAAGAGGGTGCGGGAGTGGGCACTCTTGCTAGGAGCTGGCGTCTACTTGACAGGACCTGGCAACAACTAGCCGAAAGGTTGGTGGCTCGAAGCCACTTAGCAGCACCTCAGAAGAAAGGCCTGAGGATCTGCTCCTGAAATATCACAGTTTTGCAAATAGTCCTACTCTCCACAACAGAGTGGCCGAGATGCAACAGTGACAACAGCTGCCCTGGGACGAACCGCTCTTTGTCAGGGGCTGCCATGCACACTGTAGTAGTCTACCTATAGGCACCAGCAGCTGGTCCTTCCAACTTAAGTGCTGACAGCCAAAAGTGACTGGAGATAGTTGCCAAATGTCGCCTACTGGTACAAGTACCCAGAATGGACAAGTCCTGAATCACGGAGGGAGACGTGAGTGGGAATTCTAACAAGATCAAACTTCTTGGCCTAGAAACCTTAGGGTGGGCGGGCATTGGGGGAAGGGGAACCTTCCTACGTACCTAAGTAATCACTCCAGGGGGGTGACACCACCCACGGGGCCATTAGTCCCCAGTTTCTTTTGGGAACATTACGAACAAGCCAAAATCAGCTGCGCTCACCGCAACCTTTCTGAAAATCTGTCCTAAAAGCAATTTGGGGAGCAGAGGAGTCCTGGCTCACGCCCTCCACCCATTTAAGCTACCTCTAGGGCGCCAGGCAGGACAGGAGGGCTAAAGGCCCCAGTCTGGGGGCAGCAATACTTACTTGTCTTCTGTGCTCCGAGGAGAGGGCCCTTTGGGTAGCAGCTTCCTGCGCTGCTGGGCCTCCTCCAGGAGATGCTCATCCTTGGGGAAGATGCCCCCCATCAGGTCCATGGTGGTCCTGACCTTCATACTGGGGTCCAGGACATCAGCCAGGGACCGGTCCTTGTCCACGATCTCACGGGCCAGCTCTTCAGACTTGAGGTCCTCTGCTGTTTTCTCTTTGGCCTTCACGTAGCTGAGCCCCAGGCCTACAGGGGAGGAGTGGCTGTCCTTGGTGGGGGGTACCTGGGTGGTGGGGGGCTCGGGCTCCACTGGCGGGGCTCGAGGCAGCTCTGTGGGCGTGGTGCCCTGGCGTGTGTACACGCAGAAGCGGGAGTAGGCGTGCCCTGCCGAACTCAGTGTCTTGATGTGGTCACGTTCCAGCCCGCTGGGCAGGGTGGGCAGCTCGGTGGGCCGGGCGAGGCCTTGGCGGCTCTCCTTCTCGGGCTGGCTCTCTGAGTGCACGATTTTGATGGGCACCATCTTCACCGTGGTGTTGTTGTCCATCACCCGCTCAATTCTGGAAAGAGAACAGCTGTCAACAGGGCAAGTGTGCTCTGGACAGCACACTGACCTTCCGGTGCCCTCCCAGGCGGGAAAAGAGCTCCAGGCCCGAGCTGGAGAGGGAGCCAGGATCCTGCCTCCTCGGACTGGCATAGAGTGCTGTCACCAGCTGCCCGAGGGCCTTTCCTCGGGCACACAGCACCTACCCACGGCCCACCGGGAGTCCCGGCATGCCTTCAGGGCTTGTGTGGTGAGCAATGTGAGCTAACGGGGTGCTCCTTTCTTTCTATTTCAGAGATGAGGTAAAAACCTACAAACCCCACTATATTTTCTTTCGTAGGGAGACCTGAGATTGATGTGCAGTTTTCACACTATTACCAGGAGCGTCTTAGGTCAGCGCCTCTTGGAGAAGAGCCAGTGCTCCATATAGATTCTGACACATCCTCAGGGGCAGTGGACAATGACCTCTACTACAAAGGCTGACAACCTTAGGCTTGACACAGAGCTCTGTGTCTCCCCTAATCAGAAGCCCTCTCACACACTCCAGAGTAACCTGCATCTCACCTTCAACCTGTGATCCACTTCCCTCCCAGCCCTCCACTCCCCTCCTAGGCTCCACCTCACCTCCCTACCCTTCACCCAGTCTTGTTCACACCAATGAGATAAGAATCCCAGCAGCAAAACAGGGAACACACTGGTTTTGTGCCATTCCAAGTGACTCACAAATAACACACAGTAACTGTTGTTTAGCTTTTTACAGGGCAGGAGAGACAGAGATGAGAACAGCAGAAAGAAAGTGCCTGGTGTTTCATCTGTGTCCCTGCTGAGTTCTGTGTTACCCAGTGGGGGCTGTTGAGTCCCATTAGGATGTGATGGTTTTAAAGTAGGTTTCAAAGTCATGTAAGCTTATAATAAACACAGCTGTTTGCTCCTGCCCATGCATATACACTGCATGTATTGGGGGGGGGGGGGCGGAAACTAGCCAAAAAAATCCCAGAGTCAAAATTCAGGGCTTTTCTTTAGTCATTGAGCTGAAGCTACTTCTAGTGTCATGCTGCAGACAAAGGAAGCTACTGTGTCCCACGCTTAGTGGGGCTTTTCTCCCTTTAACTGGTGGCTGGGAAATGCAGTCCACTGCCTTCTTGTTCCTAAATGTCTAAGCACAAGTGGGCTCTCTCTTTGAAACCATTTAAGACTTCCATATGAAGAGTTTAAGGAATCTCTCCTTCAAAATAAGTGCAAAGCCCTGCTCATCTGACTTGACTAAACCAATCCTGTTTTCACGGATTCTGACTCATGGTGAACCTTTCTCTCTCAATGAAGTGGGGATGGGGAGAAAGTGTAGATTTAGGAGCATAAGCTTTGTAATCTAGAAAAAGGCATGCAAACTGGACATCATGAGAAGCACCAGTCTCACATAAATGTGTACTGGTAGTTTAGTGGTAAAGCATTATGCTGCCAACTCAAAGGCATATTGTTCAACTCCACCAGCTGCTCCACAGGAGAAGGATGGTCAATCTCCTCTCGTGTGATTTACTGCCTCTGAAAACTGACTAGAGGGTCAGCTATAAGTAGGTGCCAACTCAACAGTACACAACAAGAACAACAAGCTTTGTAATGGAAAAAAACAAAACAAAACAACAACTAGGAAAAATGCCTGGAGATCATGACATGCCTTTACATCATGACAAACACAGTTTCGCCTAAATTCTTAGACTAAACCTGATTCTGACCACACTGCATGCTCAGTGAAATCACGTCCCTAACCTATAGACTGGGAGCTCTGGTGGCGTAGTGGTAAGGCAGTACACTGCCAACACAAAAGTACACAGTTTGAACCTACCAGATGCTCTGTGATAGAAAGATGGGGATATAATTTCATTTACAAACTCTGAAAACCCACAGGGTCGGTTCCTGCTTGACAGCACCCCACAACAATCTGCAGATGGGACAGTAGTGGGCCAGTGGCCGAATTTGAACCTTCTATGGGAGAGATTCAAGTTCAATCTTCCTCCCACACAGAGTTATCACGTCTGTCTGTGAAGACTTGCATGTTGGTAGGACGCTAAACAGGTTTCAGTGGAGCTTCAAGACTAAGACAGACTTCGAATAAATGCCTGGTGATCTACGTCTGAAAATCAGCCATCAAAACCCTCAAGGATTACAATGATCTAGTCTACCACCAATGAGGTAACGGTGCAGAACTGGGCAGCATTTCATCCTGTAGACACGGAGTCACAGAGATTTGGGGGCCAACTTGATGGCAGCCAATAACAATACGATCAATAACTTTATACCACCAGCCTACCAGTGACCCTTTGCACAGTGCTCTCCTCCAGGCACTATTCCTGGTTCCGGCTCATGCATAGCAGGCCACATGGAGGTTCAATGGTAGAACTCCCACCTTTCATGCAAGAGACCAGGGTTCAATTCCCAGCCAATGCACCACGTGTGGCACCACTGCTTGTCTGTCAGAGGAGGTTGATGTAATACTGAAAACATATCAGCAGAGCTTCCAGCTTAAGATGAACTAGGAAGAAAGTCCTGGAAGTCTACTTGTGAAAACCAGCCACTAACAGCCCTATTTGGCATATAACAATAAAATTATAAGTTGAATAATATTTGGTTGATAGTTTGTTTTTTTTTTTTAATTTAAGCCTCTTGTTTAGAGTCAACAGCACCAGGTAAAGGGCCTTTGAATTCAAAAGTCGGTTGAGCCCAAGGGCCTGTGGCCCTCAAGCCTAGTGTTGTTATATTTTAGAGGAACATTCTTCTAAGTGGTACAGCACTGGTCTGTCAAATTGCTGTACAGAGGTAACCTGGGGTTGCTATGATGCTGAGCCTTGTACTACTGGTGTGTCAAATGCCATAATGGTTACCCATGGTGGACAGTGTTTGGTGGAGCTCCCAGACAGGTTTGGAAGCAGGACTGGCATCCACTTCCTAAACAACATGCCTCTGGAAACTCTATGAACTTAGAGAAACGATAGTGATAGAACAGGGTTCAGGTCTTTTGTTCATAAGGTCGCTATAAATCGTGGCTATGAGTCAAGCATCCATTCAATGGCAATCAACAACAACATCCCTCTGGATCACAATGGTCTGATCCCTAATTAGTCTCAGGGGAAGACTTAGGACTAGGCAGCATTTCGTGTAGTTATGCATGCTGTAGCCAAGTCAGGCCAACTCCACAGCAGCTAATAAGAACAACAGAAACCTGGAGAAGCAGAAAGAAGATGATGGTGCAAGTGGAAGGGGATGAGAGCCTGCCTTCACATTCTTCCTGATCCCTGTGGGGACGGACAGCCGCAAGCTGTAAAAAAAGTCAACAGTGATTTCAGCTGTAGTTTTTTTTCCTCTGTAAAGTTATTCACTGAAATCACCTTGAAAGTGGATTAACTTGAACCTGAAGCAAAGCATCCATCAGGGATGGCCTGAAATGATTCTGTGAAAGAAGTAAACAGAGGCAGGTACGCAACTCCTGGCCTGGGGACACTACCTTGTAGCACTCTCATCCTGGATGAGCAGGGGGGGCTTGTCGGTCAGCTTCTGGGGTGCGAACTGCGGGGATGGGGAGCGGGAGGTTTCCATGGCAGCTCTCTGTAGGTTCCGGGGCTTGGGTGGACCCTCATTTACATGCTGGCGGTCATGCTCAGAGGGGACGGTGGTTGGCAGGCTGTCATGGCTCACACACACATGCAGTGAGTCTGGCGTTGAGGTGTCTGCAGGAGGAACCCCAGAAGCCAAGCCCCCTGAGGTCACGACTTCAATGCTCCTAGGCCTCAGGGGCTCACGCTTTGGTAGAGAAGGCCACTGTGGGGCTGGCCGCTTGGTTAGAGGTACAGGGCTCACTGGCAAGGCATCCCCACGTTGCCCAGGCAGGGGTGAGGGGCTGCTGGGGGCCAGGGGTGGCGGCACCAGGTCTGCTGGTCTATCGTCCTCTGTGGAACGATAGTCACGAGGCAGTGTCTCCGCGCAGCAGTGGCCTCTTTGCAGCTCCGGTTTCTCGCGAGGGTGAGCAGCACTCGAGAAGGATGGAAACTGGTCGTGTGGCTGCTGGAGCGGTGGGTCCCCGTCGCCTCCTGGACTATTGCCCCAGTACTGTGTGCTGCAGGAAAGACAACAGTGTTACAGACAATTCCATGTCAGGCTCTTCCCCGTTACTAGACCCAGTAATGGAAGAATACAACGCCTTTCAAACAACCAACCCTTTGGTTAGCAAGTAAATGTTTAACCATTGTGCCACTAGGGCATCTGACACTGAAATAAAACTCAAACCTGTGGCTCTACTTTTCCCAGATAATAGGCCTATAAGGTGAGCAATAACATGAGACAACTACAACTAACCATGCAAGCAAGGTCAAAGACCAACATATGGCCAAGTATAAAGCCCTGAAGGCAGGAAGGATTAATAGAAATGAGAATTACAGGGAGGAAGTGGGGGAAATGTGATTACACTGTGAGGACTACACTTAATGCTATAATACAAAAGGTGTATGTATGGTTGAATGAAAAAATATTTTTCCTTTGCTAACTTTCACTCAAATCACAATAAAAAAGAAAAAAGTATGTTGCAGGCTGTATGTAGATAGAAATACAGTACTATTTTATATAAGGAACTTGAGCATCAATTTTTATATCTGTGGGGGATTTAGAACTAGGGAGTCATGAGTCCTCACTGACATTGAGGGACTGCTATATGAATCTTTGGAATTATAGTACAGTTTCTTACCACTAGACCACCAGAGCTCCGTATATGTGTACCTTTTAAACAAATTGCTCATCTATTAAAACTGTTTAGCAAAGTACCTGCACTATTTTTCATGCTTACTAAGAATTTTGAGGGAGTTTTGTTTTGCTATATTTGGCTTCACTAAAAATACAACAGTATTTTTAAAAAATACTTTGAACTGTGAACAAAGCACTGCAGCTGACCACTACACTGACGACAAGCTGTCTTCTTTCTTGGACGAGTAACAGTTGAAAAATGGCTCTCAGTGCAGCTCAGTGGGAGAACAGTATTGATGGAATAGGAAGAAGAAAGAAGGCGGCTCAGTGATTTCCTACCTATTAATCCAAAAATCTTGTAAGCATGAACAGAGGATGGTATCCTGGTTTGAATTGTGTCCCCTAAAACATGTGTCAACAGGGGGCTCTGGTAGCTCAGTGGTTAGGAGCTGCTCTGCCAATCCAAAAGCATGCAATTTGAATACAATAGCTGTTCTGCAGAAGAAAGATGGGCCATCTCCTCCCATGTAACTTACTGCCTCTAAAAGCCAACTGGACAAAAAGAATAAAACCAACTGGAGGGTCAGCTATGAGTCAGTTCAGACTTGAAGGTATATAACCACAGCATAATAAAATATGTGTCACTTTGGCTGGGCCATAATTCTTTGTGGTTTGGCAGTTAAGTAACCTTGTAGTTTGGCAGTGATTTGATAGGATCAGTTATAAAGGAATCAGGCTAAGATGCAAAACTGTCACTCAAATCATAGTTCTGATCTGATTTAAGAGGAGCTTCCCTGGGATGTGGCCTATTACTCTTTTATCCTATAAGAGATAAAAGGAATTTCATTACTACCAAGGGGGAAAAAAAATAGAGTAGAATACATCCTGTGGATCCCGGGTCCTTATGCTGAGAACTCCTAGACCCAGAGGAAGGTTGATGCAAAGACACATGGAGATTCCCAAAGAATGGCAGACCCACAGATGCTGAAAGGAGACAAAGTCCAGAGTGGACAGAGAGAAAATCTTCCTCTTGAAATGGTGATGGAATTAAGACTTCTAGTTTCCTATACTGCGAAAGAATAAGCTTCTATTTGATAAAAGCACTCATTTGTGGTATTTCTGTTATAGCAGTACTAGAAAACTAAATGAGAAGACCTCACTTGAAACCTTTTGATTTATAGCTGCGTTCTTGTCTGTAAGGAAGTTCAACTTTATGCAACAGATGTAAGGGAAGTGGGGTGGGGGAGGGGCAATTTTGATGACAGGAGCCCCTGGCTGCATACCCATGTGTTTTCCAGCACTCCCCCTGGTGATTCACACTCTTTGGAATTCTTCCTACCTAAATCACTTCTGCTCTTTAAGATCCAAATGAAATATAACCTTGTCCTGGAAGCATTTCTTACACCTGTTGAGATATATCACCCTTTCTTCTCCCACAGAGCTGCTGGGAGGGTTCAAATTGCCAATCGTTAAGTTTGCAACCAGTACTTCATCATTGTGCCACCAGAGCTCATTTCAATGAGACATATGTGCCCATTGTGGGCAATCTGAAATAATAGAAGTATTCCATCAAAGGACAATCATAATAAAAATACTAACTGGTTATTGTGAAACCCTTTACTTTCAGACTGTTTATGCCTAGAGTAACAGGGCTCAAATTTATTCTATTTCTATACATTTAAGCTATGAATAAGGAAATGTTTGGAGGTGCTCTAAAAGCATAAGCATTAAAATGATATAAAGCATCATAATGAGAAAATAGTAATAGAAAGAGGGGAGGCACACACCAGGAAAAACACAGGAAGATGCAGAGTGTCAGATGAACAGGATTATGACATATCTGTGTCTCAGATGTGACACAGATTTTCTACCAATCACAGCAAAAAAGAAAAGATGGTGAGCTGGGGATACTGGATGCATCTTAGCTTTTCAGCAGAAACCATGAATTCTATTACTAACTTAACATTGACAGTATTGACAGAGTACTGGTAGCCCCATCTGACAGTTGGGGATGCTCAAACCCCAAGAGCTTATGTGATCTGACAGAGTTTGATCTAGATAGGCATCATTCACTCTTGCTGTGCTTGCTGCACTATCATCCCTCCTCCAATCCCAATACAAACAGTTGCTGTTGAGTTGATCCAACCCATGGCAATTCCACACGTGTCAGAGTCAAATTGTGTTCCAGAGAGATTTCAATGGCTGATGTTTTGGAGGTAAATGATGCACTCAGAACTTCAATCTTTCAGGTGGTAGTGCTCACTCAACACTTATGCCCACAAACCCCTACTAGACACCAATCTGAAACTCCTGGATCTTTTTTGACTTTTATCTTCTATGCACACACCAGCAACTGCTTCCGATGGAGTTCTACAATGCATGTGGAATTTGTGGTCACACAGCCACTGGTGGCTACAATTTCTGTGGTGCACACAGTAACCACAGTACACACAGCTTCCAGGAGCCAGCAGGCAACCAGATCTGGAATCAGCTATATCAAACACTCAGTTGGAATGGATGTAAAAAAGACCCAACCTTAAATAACCACTGACGTTTGAGAATCACACACTTGGGGGGCAGGGTGGGAAGGAGTATTGGCAGTATATGCGACAGATGATGGTCAAGAACAAAGGCTGAACTTGACATCTGAACAGCATCTCAAGTTCAAAGGAAAAAATAGAAACACCCAGAAAATGCACCAAAAAGCTCACTGGCGACATGCAAGTTAAAAAGGAAGTCACTTTTTAGGACTATCAAAATAATTTTTCTTGGTGACATATAATTCAAATTCTCCTTGAAGAGAGACTTTGGACCATTCGCATCCATATGATCCAAATACTATTAGCCTGAAGAAATCTTTAGATTCTGAACCAAAAATGTTCACTATCCTTGAAAAGAAAAGATGCCTAATTAGAAAAGAATATCTTCATTATCTAGGTGATCAAGGCTGGGAAACTGGCCTAAGTATCTCCAGCTTGACCTCTAAATACCAAACAAGTTTTAAAAACAGGTAAGGGCAGTTTGCATATAATATGTATAGCACAATCTCAATTGTGGGGAAAAAGATACACATTCACCATCGATGAGATGGATTGATTCAGTGACTGGTGTAAGGGGGGAAGGTGTGTCATAGACAGTAAGATTGGCATAGTATAGAGCAGGGTTTAGGGCTGTTTTACACAGGGTTGCTATGAGTCACAGGCAGCTCGATGGCACATAGCAGCAACCACCACCATCCTGGAAAAAAAGATTGTCAAGGAAATTACTTCAGTTTTGTGGATCCCACTATGAGATTAAAGGTGATTTTAGTTACTACCTTCTACTTTCCAGAGCTTTCACTTATTTTTTTTTTTTAATATTTGTGTTTTCAGTTTACACAGCAATTTCTACACAAGTTACTCTGTAACACTGGTTACGTTCTTCACAGTGCTTGAACATTCTCAATATTTCCTTTCTGGTTGTTCCATTTTCATTAATCTTGTTTCTCAGTCCACCTTCCCTTTGTTTTAAAGTAACTATTGATCAGGGAGCTCTGGTAGCCTAGTGGCAAGAAGCTGCACTGCAACCCCAGAGGTACACGGTTTGAATCCACCAGATGCTCTGCTGGAGAGGGAGAGGCTATCTCCTCCTGTACCAGTCAGATCCAATTTGATGGCACACACACACACACACACACAGAATAATAAAATTTTTAAAAAAATAATTGTTGATCATTTGTTCTCTTAGAGGTCATTGTTAAGGGAGGATCCACTTTCTTTTGTGAGCCAGTTATTTTGCTACAGTGACATCAAGGGCTAGTTTTGGTTCAAAGTTGAATCCTCTGACTCAAAATGGTCCAGTTTTGATTTTTAGAAGAATTTTTATTAAAATGTCCTGTCATCATAAATTAAGAGAAAAATTATTGTATTCAGGTATTTTCCTCCTATCACAATTGCAAGGGACCCACAATTCTGAAAATATTAAATCTCTGATCACTGCCTGATGACTGCTCCTCAGTTGAGCTATATTTGGAAATTTTAATGATTCAACAGATTACAAGTATTTACTGCCTGGGAGAATTTGCTTTGTTTCTTCACAAAAAGATGTATGTATTTACAGATGAGGCTGTCGTTGTTGTTAGGTGCCATCTTGTCGAGTATGACTCACAGAGACCCTATGAACAAAAGATCTGAACCTAGTCCTGTACTGCGCCATCCTCACACTTCCTGCCACACAAGAGCCCATTGCAGCAATCACCCTGTCAATCCACCTGGTTGAGGGTCTTCTCCTTCACCAACCCTCCACCCTTCCCAACATCATGTCCCTCTCCAAGGAATAGCACCTCTTAGCAATATGTCCAAAGTATGTGAGGTGAAGCATCATCATTCTTGCCTCCAAAGA